AGCGGGGAGGGGCAGCGTGAGTCTCCACCCCACCCTCCCCTGCAGCCTACACGTGAGGTCCCCGACTGCTCCCCCTCGCTGCCTGATTTGGGCTCTCCTCCGTCTGCCCGGCTGCCTGTGCCCTCTCCCGGCCGCCCAGCGGGGATGTCCTGCATGTCTCTGGGTTTGTGGAAGGAAGGCACACGGCCATGTTCTGTCATCCATGGCTGGCCACAGGGCCAGGACGGGCGAGCGTGGCTCCTGGCAGGGACGTGGGGACCTGCTCTGGTGTGGAAAGTGATCAGGGCCCCCAGAGACAGCTGCAGGCCTTGAGGGGCCCCGGGGCAGGGCGTAGACTTTGGATCTGCCCAGAGACCATTCTCTTTTCCAGAGGCCTGGGGGTGCACAGGCATCCTGGCGACCAGGCACTAGGAGCCGGGGCCACGCCGTGACTGTGGCCGGAGGCTCTGAGAGTGTGAGGAACACAGTGCATGTGACTGTGCGTGTTGTGCATGTGGTGTGGGCACGTGTTTTGTCTGTGGAGTGTGTACCAGGTGTGTGCCGTGAGTGGTGTGAGGATGCACACGTGTACTTGTGCAAGCAGATGGGGAGTGCGGTATCAGTGTGGTTGGTGCTGGGTGTGCACGTGTGAGAGCGTGTGAGTTTGTGTGGGGAAACGTGTAGTGTGTGCGTGTGGGAGGTGTGGGTGTGGGTTTTCTGTGTGTGCAAGTCTGCGAGGTCTGTCGGGGTCACCCCTCTCGAGCTTCCCTCCAGCCTTGCCCTGGGTAGCCCTGTCTTCCGGTCTGAATGTCAACGTGGTCACCGTCTCTGCTGATGGCCAAGCTGCCCGTTAGGAGGACACTCCAGGGTCGGCCTGGGCCTCTGTGAGCAGGTACGGTCACACGCAGAATCTGGGTCTGCGCTGCGTGAACACTGACCCCCCCAGAGTCAGCACTGACCCCATCGACTCCTGCTAACCCTGCAGTCCAAGAGCCTTCCAGGAGCGGGTGTGGCCATCATGATCCCTGACCCTGACTCAGACCTGGACCCAGACCGGACCGCCGGGCAGATGCGACATGTACTGTAGACCTCCGGGTGCTGCCCCTGGCTTTTTGTCAGGGGCCCCCAGAAAGCAGCAGCCTGGCCTCTCCTGTGGACCTCCGGGCATAGTCCTTCCTCCACGAGACGGCGCCAGCTCCAGCTTGACCCCGGAGGAGGCTGAGAGGGGTGGGATGAGTGTGGCTGTGCGGAGGGCCCTGCAGCAGCAGGGGCACTGAGCCCTGGGAGCTTTGGGGCATCCTAATGTTGCCACAGAGCTCATCCGCCCTGACTCTTCCAGTCCACTGTCACCCAGGCCCCCACCACACTGTCCTGCCTCCGGAAGGCCACCTCTGCAGGGCGGCAATCTGGGCGGCAGGGCAGCAGACACCCAGGCCAAACCGTGCCCTCGCTCAGCCTGCCCACCCCACGCCACACCCTTCTCACGCGATTTCCCCTGTAGGAACCCGCCTCCTCGCCACCTTGCCACGTCCTCCTTGTCCTCTTCAGCCATGAAGGCTCTTAAGTGTGTAGATCAACCATGACAAAGGAAATCACTCAGCAGCGAAATAAACGGAAGTATTTACAGGAACGAACGTGCTCTACGGCCACACCCGGGCCTCCTCACAGCACTCTTAACAGCAAGAGCCAGTGTGGGTCTGACAGCTAGTGCGACGGACGTGGTGATGCGTGTGCAGCTCGACACCCGGCTGCACCGCCACGTCCCACGGCATGTGAGATCCCACCACACTGCGACATCCCACAGCATGCAAGACCCCGCCACAACTAAGTCCCACGGCATGCGAGACCCGGCTGCACCACGGGGTCCCACGGCATGCGAGACCCGGCCGCACCACGGGGTCCCACGGCA